GTAACAATAGAAGGCAGGACACGGAAGCCAATGTATATTCTGTTGCTAATGCCATCCGTTTGAACTGTTAGAATATGTGAGAATCATATTTCATTGGAACACATTGTCTGTATCACACCACCACAGTATAACTGAATTTATGTATGTAGCTTATTTATTAAATGTGTAACTGTATGAACACGGAGAAATCGCGATATCAAATTCATTCACATTATAACGGATTGATTCAACTCTTTAAGTAAGCTGAAAATAAATATCCACCTTTAATTAATACTTTTGAATCAACCATCTCTGAAATATTGTTGATGATCTGTGCCACTCATTACACATTTGGATAAAACCTAAGTGGGAAATAATCAATACTTTGGCAGAATGATTTTGCAGTTAAGTAGAAGGTATTCAAACAGAAAAGAAGTGATATAAGAATAAAACTTGTGCACTGTGTTAGAGTGTAATTCCATTGTGGGTAAATTTCGTTTTCATAAAGTCTCACAATGTTATACAGTAATGTTTACTGATGACGTTTAATCCTAATCCAAAAATATGGTGGAGATATGTAGATGACACTTTCACAATGTTAAAAACAGAACATCTCTCTCCCTCTCTAGCTTCTTGACACGTATAAACTCACTAGTAGAGGGAATAAAATTCACATTTGAATCGGAAAATGAACAAGGAGAATTAGCTATGTTAGACTGTAAAATAAAATGAATAGAAGAAGGTAAACTGCACACTAGTGTGTACAAAACACCAACTCATTCTAATAGATATTTAGACTTTAATTCATCTTATCCGTCAACTGTTAAGGCAGGATTAGATAACAACTGTCTAACAAACCGAGCAGTAGCATTAAGTAGTACAAGAAAAGACCGAAATGATGAAATGAAACAGATAGAAGAGGCTTTGGTGTTAAATAACTATCCTTTAAAATTCATTAGGAAGATCGAAAAAGGACAAAAGCAAAATAAAAATAATTCTGAAACTAGTAATAATAACATAAATAAGAAAGAATATAAGTCATCTACAGTTATACCACATAAAGAGGGGACATCTGAAACGCTACGTAAGATTCTCACTAAAGCAGGAATTAGGTTGACATTCAAACCTACAAACTCACTCAGGTAGGACAAGCTCTGTAGATTAAAGGACCTTGTAGGTTGACCCAATTAGATAAAATAATATAATTTACAAAATACCCTGCAATGACTGTGAGTTAGGTGAACTATATAGGTCAAACTAGTAGGTCAGGGGTAGTCAGATTGTCAGAACATAAGAATTTAGCTAAGTTAAGAATGATTGACCCCGAGAAGATGAGTAATTTACAAAAAAGCTCAGCGACTGCACTGCATGCATTAATACACAACCACGCAATAGGGTGAGACAGAGTCAAAATTCTAAGAAGTAATATACGTAGGTAGGTGGAGGGAGAGCTTGATTACTGAATCCTTGTTCATCGAGTCTACACCAAACACATGCAATAGGAATGATTCATCACTCATACCTGAAATATGGAAAATACTACTGCCAATCAAATCAAGCGATGAAAAATAATGGAACTACATAAATGAAGTTAGGAAGTCGTATGAGTACCTTGATATGATTATGAGCAATAAATTGTGCTCGAAACGTCATCAGTAAACATTACTGGATAACACTGTGAGACTTTATCAAAACAAAATTTACCCATAATGGAAAAAAAAAAGTGAATGTGAAAGTAAAAGAAGGAGAAAAAGGTTAAGTTCTGAACCCAATGGAAGTGAATCGTAATTATTCCATCCGACAATCTAAAAATTTGTGGATTAGTGCTTATAACATTAACTTGATTTATTTAGTACGATCTTACTTTTGATTGGACACAAAAGGGCAAGTAATGTCATGTGTCTAGTTCTTTGTTTCGTACAGACTGAATACTATTAGTCAAGTTTGCAATGTGACCATCATGATAGGCGACTCCTCATCACGCCTCCATCTGATTTGTTCTTATACATTTGACTATAGTACTGGGTGATATGGGTTCGAATCACAGAGAGGCTGAACACAAGCCTTACTGACGAGTATCAAAAAGCACGAAACCTGGATTCAAGACTTTTAATGACTGAGTCCAAGCATTTAACAAGGAGTAAGATATCAGTTGGATATCTGCAATTAATAGTGTTCCCTGAGCTGGTTGGTTTAGTTGCGGAGCTATTGTCATCCTTCTAGACATCTTCAGCGCAATATTTAACATAAAGTGAAATGATTTAGAATATACCCACATATTAATAAACAACATATTTGAAGACATCGAATTCACAAGAGAAGAAGAATTAGATAACAAAATCCCATTTTTAGATGTCTTAATCAGGGAAACCATCACAGGAAATTTAGAAACACAAGTATATAGAAAATCAACGCCAACACACAGATCAAATACTCAACTATACTAACAATAATCCAATTACTCACTCACAAAAGACACTGTGTGCAGACATTGTTTAAAAGAATTCAAATACACCGTGAGCAATCCAGCGTTGAAAAGAATGGAAGAAAAACACCTACTAACGGTCTACAAGAAGAATGGTTATCCACAAAATTCCATCAAAGTGTTTAAAATCAAATCACAACACCAACAAGGAACCATCATCAAAGACCACAAGAAAATTCATTCTACTATACATGAAAAATATCTCTGAAATAACAGCTAGAATACTGAAACTGTTTGGTATAGATATAGCACACAAGCCAGTCAAATCGCTTAATTCGATATTATTCAAACCAAAAGATCCAACAGAAAAAAGGGATAAAAATAATACCATTTACAAAATAAATTGTGTGAACTGTAACAGGTATTACGTCGACCAAAGTGAGCGTCCCCTTAGAATCAGAATCTAGGAACACAAATAAGTCGTGTAAAGACTCGATATATACTCTTTCATATCAATGCAAATAAATAATTATGGACATCAGTTTGATTGGGATAATGTCGAAATCTTAGATAGGGGAAACACCAAAAGTGCAGTCAGGGGATTCCTAGAAGCCTGGTACTCCAACGAATATGCAGTTAACAAACACGTTAATGTAGACGAAATATATCAACTAATAAAAAGTAAATCAGGTGACCAGAAAGTTGAAAATCCAAGTCAATAGAAAGTGGTCAATACATATGTAAAGATGGTTACCGGGAGTTGCAATCTTTCTGTTTTCTAGATGCAATTATATCACTGATGAAGAAATTTAAATCATTTCACTTTATGCTAAATATTGCGCTGAAATGGGATGTTGTCCAGAAGAACGACGAAAGCTCCGCAACTAAACCAACCAGCTCAGAGAACACTACTAATTGCAAATCATCCACCTGAGCTACAAATCTTCTCTATTATTTCAATTGGATATCTCTTACTACAAATTGAGTTAAGAATCTACTAAAACTTCTCATCCTTTCTAATTGTTCGCTTCTTTAGTTCTTTTATGATATCTAAATTCTGATTATTTGAAAGGTTTTATAATGCATCTTCTGAAGTCTCATTATCATGAATAATGAAAAAACATCATTTGCAGATACATTGAGTGTTGGTCTCTAGATCCCTCATTGTCTTCTGTCAACCTCAAATACAATACTTGTAGACCAAAGAGACTTGTGCTGGAAACTCTCGCACTTCCATGGTCTTAATCTCTTAATACATGAAAAGCCAATTTCAAGTTCTTTTGTTCTACTCAATTCTTAAACAATAATATTTAATTTTCCTATTTCCATACTGTTTTAGATAATCATTCATTCAACAGATTTGTTTGTTATACTACACAACCCCTTACTCAAAACGACTTACTGTTAATAAGTTCTCGTTATATCATTATTTGAAAACACTTTGGTTTCCCAGATTATTTATTTTACCTGTTAGTATATGCTTTAGACGAAGAATTATTGAGTACATTCTTGGGAAAGACGATTTAAGTGAAATAGCTTTAAGGAGTGAGATGACCAGAATTGTTGTAATTAATAGCAATTAGCTGCCTACAGTAGATAATACTGGATTACTAGGGTTTAGTACTTTAGTACATAGAGACATCTAAACAAATTATTGGCGTTGAGAACAAGGCACGACGTGAAGACCAGCAAGGAACTGGTGGAAATTTAGGACTTATGTAGTGAATTATGCGTCTAAATATTGTTAGATAGGATATCTTTAGTAGGAATTTTCGAAAACGCTACTTGTTGTATCATCTGCTCGACAAAGTTTCTTTCCGTGAAACTCACAAACAAAAACAAAGTGGCAAATAAATACTTCATATTCTTTCCTGAGTTTATATGTGTACTAATTTCAGTAAAAAGTCTGGGCGATGTAGAATGGATCAAATAAATTATAATTATATTTCAATAGTTCCCACATAATGATAAATTTTGTTGTCTTGGCAATGTTTTTTTTATTACAGCTTGATTCCACACTGTATTTTTGGTACTAGTATGGAATTTTCAGCATGGATATCTGTACCCCAAATTTTCCAGGCCGACCATAGATATCAGGTGTGCCTCGGCAGGGGATCGAACCTCGCATCATGTGTGCATGGTCGGCGAGAGTCCTTACCACTGTGCCATATCGAGGAGAATTACCAAAACAAAAAAAATTATCACTGTGTGGAAACGATTGAAATATATCCATAGCCTATTTTACATGCAAAATTGTGGATGGCCTTAATTATTCGTCAACCAGTCAGATCTGAATTGGGAAATAGCACAAGAATGTGGATAATTTGGTGTTATTACTGCTACAGACTGATTTGGCAGCCAGTCGAAATTAGTCTGACCTGATAGAAAACGGAGAGAATTCTAGAAAAAAGTAGACCGTAGATAGTCCAATGAAAATATAACAATATCGGTTGTTGACCAATAGGATGCAAGTATATATTAGCCAATAGGGTTTTTCAGAGCGACATTAGTAACTTATATAAACTGAGGAGGCTGCCATATTGGCCTTTGGTCTTTAAATTCTAGTCGGCTTCCGTTCGTTGCTGCTCTATAGAAAATGGTAAGTTGACGGTTTATATCTCGTAACTTGTGTGTTATAGCGTGAATGCATCAGTGTACATGTCGGCCAGGCCGGAGTTCAGATGGGAAATGCTTGCTGGGAGTTGTATTGCCTAGAACATGGTATCCAACCTGACGGACAGATGCCAAGCGATAAGACTATCGGTGGAGGAGATGACTCGTTTAACACGTTCTTCAGTGAAACAGGGGCTGGAAAACACGTTCCACGAGCAGTGTTTGTAGATCTGGAGCCAACTGTCGTAGACGAAGTGCGAACTGGGACTTACCGTCAACTATTCCATCCAGAACAACTGATAACTGGAAAGGAAGATGCCGCGAATAACTACGCAAGAGGTCATTATACCATCGGGAAAGAAATAGTAGACTTGGTCCTGGATCGTATTCGCAAATTATCTGACCAATGCACAGGGTTACAAGGTTTCCTCATTTTCCATTCATTTGGTGGAGGCACTGGATCTGGGTTCACATCTCTACTGATGGAGCGTCTGAGTGTTGATTACGGCAAGAAGTCCAAGTTAGAATTCGCTGTGTACCCAGCACCTCAAATCGCCACTGCCGTAGTGGAGCCATACAATTCAATTTTGACAACACATACGACTCTAGAACACTCAGACTGTGCATTTATGGTGGACAACGAAGCTATATATGATATTTGCAGGTAGGCTTTTGTTAGTGGTAATACCAATTTTTTTAGACGTAACTTAGATATCGAACGTCCTACTTACACGAACCTCAACCGGTTGATTGGCCAGATTGTCAGTTCCATCACGGCGTCTCTACGTTTCGACGGTGCACTTAATGTGGATTTGACGGAGTTTCAGACAAACTTGGTTCCTTATCCACGTATCCACTTCCCCTTGGCCACCTACGCACCCGTCATTTCAGCAGAGAAGGCGTACCATGAGCAGTTGAGCGTCGCAGAGATCACCAATGCTTGTTTCGAGCCGGCCAATCAAATGGTGAAGTGCGACCCCCGTCACGGGAAATACATGGCGTGCTGTATGCTGTATCGTGGTGATGTGGTTCCTAAGGACGTGAATGCAGCTATTGCTACCATCAAGACAAAGCGTACAATTCAGTTTGTGGATTGGTGTCCCACTGGTTTCAAGGTTGGCATCAACTACCAGCCCCCGACCGTCGTTCCAGGTGGTGACTTAGCCAAGGTACAGCGTGCTGTTTGCATGTTGAGCAACACGACGGCGATCGCTGAAGCTTGGGCTCGTCTGGACCACAAATTCGACCTGATGTATGCTAAGCGTGCCTTTGTTCATTGGTACGTTGGGGAAGGTATGGAAGAAGGTGAGTTCTCTGAGGCTCGTGAGGACTTGGCTGCGTTGGAGAAAGATTATGAGGAAGTTGGTGTTGACAGTGTTGATGGGGAAGGTGAGGGTGAAGGAGAGGAGTACTAAAGTTCTTCCCCAGTTAATGTTGTTTCCCGTTACTTGTTCTTAATACATTTTACACGTTAAAGTTGTTTTTATTGTAACTGAGACGTCAGGTTCCGTGTTCTGTAGTCGTAGGTATGTTCTAATTGGGTGAGTTAAGTGACTTACGTCATCTCACTTGGTTCGCATACATGGCGTGTTCGTGCGCGTCCACATCGTATACGTGAGATATATCGCGTTCAACCCAATGGCTGTTGTAGCTGTTCGAGTGGCCGTTTTATTATTTCCGCAGGGTAACTTGGAGTTTTATTTGGAGGGTATTCGCTTCTCATTGGAATGGTTCTACATGTTGTCATGAGATATGGTTCCTGACTCCGCCGGAGTGTAAGGTGAAGTTGGAAGAGTTAGGTAGTGGGGACTCGTGTTCTTACCAGGATGTCACGAGTCCAAATACGGTTGATTTCCTCGAGGGCCTCGTACGCTGGACGGCTGTGTATCATGTGCAATCATTGATGGCGATGTCGATGGGTCGCCTTTTTTTGAGTGGTACATCTACTACGTCAGCTGGTGGACCGACTTAGTGTAGGACAGCGTGACTGTCGAGGGGTCCTGCGCAATACAAGTCGTTTTAACTTCTGATGGCGTGTGAGAGAATCTACTAGGATTAAAGCAACGATTATCCACTAAGAGAACCTACGTCGAGTAGCGGGGCCCTTATCTCCTGTCGCGTTTATTACTGCTGGTTGTGGCGTCATCTAGATTTCCAAGTAGGTGTACAGCTAACACTTCTGTACACCTACCTCAGCGAATGCTTATCCTTTATAACGGCAGCAGCGTGTACGTTTCCATCCGTATTTATACTGTCTAGACTAAAATTTATCTCTTGAAAATAACATGTTTGTAAGTTGTCGTTTAGCTATGTTAACATTTTACGTCATTTTGTTGTGATAACAGTTGAGTAAAAGACTTAAAACTCCTTGGCTGGGATTAAGAGGGGTCCGGCGACTAGTCCTACGTTATGGACTTTCATGGTTTAAGAACTATGTCATAGTAGTTGTATCGCCCTTCGAAAACAGTCTGTTGTCATCTGTACTTCTTAACAATATTCATAAATTTAGTCGCAAGTGTGTGCTTCAAATTATTGATATAAGTGTAAAACTTGGGTAGTGGTAGAGTGTAACTCCATTATAGATAAGATTTTATTTTGATAGGTCACACAGTGTTATACAGCAATATTAAGTGATGACTACGTCTCGTGGACAAACTATTGCTCATACTCATGTCAAGTTACTCAACACTTTACTTCATTTATAAACATTAGTGGAATTGATTAGATATGTATATTTGAATAACAATCAGTATAGGATATTGTACATTCAGAAATAATAATATGAGTGTTATTAATCGAACACAAGTACAATGGGAAATAGAATGGCCATAATTTCTGTTAATTTACTTGTTCGTATATATAGTGTCAAGCAACTAAGCTATTCGTTACGCAACGCGCTTTCACACTATCCACAGTAACTATAGTAATAATGGTTACTGTTATTATCTTGTGTCCCGAGTCATTTTTAGCTAGCTGCGCGACTACACATTAGCTCTCACCTTACATAGTCTCCTTCATGTCACCATCAGATGGCTAACTTGTCACTCTTCCCAATCAGGTGCAATTTAACGAACTAACCACTTGTTTCACGCAACAGTCTTTTGGGTGTGTCAAGTCCATTTCCTTTCACTTCAGGTCATATGCTGGGGAATAGGATGTTGATTGGTCCGTTGACAGAGTTCCGTGTTAGTGTTGCAAATTCGGATCTACTACCATATACGGAGTGCAGCAAATTTCAACACAGTTTTTCAATTAGTGAAGGTCTATCTTGCTTTTCTGCCTTTGCACCGGTACCCCTGTCACTTATAGTTGAAACGACACTGCCTAGATTATTCAAACAGGCGGCTCCCTTTAGATTTCTCCCGTTGACTGTGGTTTGTACAAGGGTGTGTACACCACTTCTGGCTTCTCTATGTTAACTTGAAGTTCTGTCTTGGCTGCCAGCATCTTTTGCCAACTTGTTGCTTTTCGTCTTCAGATTTTCAGGTTGATCATAAAACGCCTGCAAGTTCCAAATATTCGACAGTGCTCTTGTCACTCCAACGAATGCCTGTCTTCTGGTACCCTAACGTCCTATTTCATGATTTAGTCGATCACAGCCAGGAATATTATTCATGTTAGTTGGTAACCTTATCATACTTATGTCTTCTTTTCAAAGACTTCACCGAGTTTTCCTTTATGAATCACCTGATGCATTGTGTTGTGATAGAGTTATCGAATGCGATTGATATAGGTTTGTGGCACTGCACTCCATAGTATTGAAGCAGTTTCCGAATTACTTCACAGTCAATGCTGTCAAGGGCCTTTCCAAAGCCGATGAAGTCGTGGTAGAGACTCAACTGCCATTCTATACTCTGCTCGGTGATGGTGTGTAGGTAGCGTTGTAATTTGATTTGGACATGACTTGCTCTTCCTGAATGCATCTTGTTCCGAGTGGAGAATAGCATCTACAGCATCTTTTAGTCTCTCCAGGACAACACGACTTAAAATTTTGCTTGGAGTGGACAAAAATATGATTCTGCGACAGTTCTCGCAAAAGCTTGAGACACCCAACGTTGGTAATATGACGAGGTAGCCCTACTTCAAATTCTTAAGTAACATTCCTTTCTTCCAAACCTTCTCCAATAGTGGCCTAAGCGTATATTCCGAGGTCTCTGGATCTGCTTTCGGTGCTATCCTCCTCTTTTTCTTTCCCTGTTAATAGTAGCCTTAAGATATTCAAGACTTGCTTTGTTGGAGAGTTGGTGTTAACTGCCAGGTGTATAGTTGTTGTTGGTATTTCTGAATGAGTTGCAGGTGTTGGTTGGTTCAAGAGTTTTTTCAAGTCATCAGTCCACCGCTTGACTTGTATCTCCTGTTTGGTAATTAGGTTCTCTTTAATTGGTTCCATCCGCGTTGACCTCTTCCTTGACACCCTCCTAGTTGTGTAGTATGGTAATCTGAGACCTTTCTTACATGGAATCTGTTATACTTCAGTCACCAGTGTGTTGTGAAAGTGTCTTTTGTTTTTCCCAGAATTGTTTTTTATTTCTCTATTCATTATATCATAGACTGAACTCAACCTTTCATTTCGTCGTTCATCTTTGCGCTAGTTCATCTTCTGTTCCACCATCTCTGTGTTAGCTTCCATGTACCCACAGACAGCCATTATTTGTCTTTCTTCCATCAGCAACACTTTCAGGGTAGTCCAGTTTTCCACTAAACCGGTTTCCTCTGTGTTGCTATGTAGTATCTCCTACTGTGCTCTGTTGACTATATTGGAGGTGTCATTCGCAGTTTCAGCCTTCATTTTCTGGGTGTTGAATTTGAATTGCATTATATTTTCAGCTTCTTTGAAGACACTTGGTAACGGTCTGGGCCACCACCTGCTCGTTTTCTCGATATTTTATTTAGCAGACTATCTCTCTACTTCCATAAGATTGAGATAAAATTTATCTGAATTCTTGTTTTATCCATCCAGTGAAACATATGTTGTTTTGTATATGTTCTTGTGCTTGTACATGGTGCCTGCAATCACCAAATCATTGAAGGCTCAGAAGTCTGAGAAGAGTTCTTTGTTCTCATTCATTTTGTCCACAGCTTCCCGATATGTGATGAGTTTTGTTCGTGTATTGTCACTTCCTAGCTTGGTTATTCCTATCACTCGCTAGGATTTTGATATCACCATTTCAGATCTTATCCATTACCCTTGGCAGTTGTTTGTAAAAGGCTCCCTTTTTTCTTGTTCTGAGTGGGTAGGTGCGTAACATTGGTTAATTGTAAAATCACTGTAAACGTCTTCTGCAGGTTATTGTTAGATGATTTAAATGGTTACAGTGGTAATATTAGTATAAATTTATTACTATATTTTAATAGTTGTTCACAAATAGTCATGATTTTGTGTTAAACCAACCACTGAAGTACACTCTATGGTAAGCAATTTTGAACTTAGGCGTATAGCTAGGTAAGAAGGGCAAGTCGACTGGTGAGGTTGTGAAGCTACGTTGATTGAAATGGATAGAATACGTGTTGTGCATGTCAAGCCACCACTTTCCTTGACCAGTAATTCTAGCTGACGTATCATTAAGTTGGAAAAGAATTAAGGTCGACCAAACTAAAACAGGACACAAATTCATGAGATCTTTGACTGTTATTTACAGTCACATAGCGATGTCTAGACTGCCTGGTTGGATTCCTCAATATTCTAAGGACCAAGCCCTGGAGACTATTAGTGATATAGCTCAAAATAGTTGCCAGTAGCACAGATGTATCTACTGTTTGTGATTTCTTATTTTCATCAAACTGTAATGTTTTCTCCACGTTACTCTTCTTTTACTCACATTCCAGCTCATTTTAGTTCTTTTGAATTTCATTTTTCTCTACTTTTGTGTACCATATGGAGTGTGGCAACTTAAACTGCTGCAATTCTGTGCTTATTTCTATGATTAAAACCTCAGTCAATCATAATAAATTGGTCTATTCCACTTGGCGAAAAATAAAAGAGGGTAGTGGAAAGATAAGTTAACAAAATTAGAAAACAAAGAGTTACTAAGAAGTGAGTCATCAGGGTAATTGAAGTTCAACAAGGGATTCTTTTTGGACACATAAGTCAGGCTTCAATCGTTTTATTGATATAGCAATATTTTTCTCTTGACTCTCTTAAGATATAATTTTCTTTGATCTTCTGAGTTCTACTCACTGTATTACATCATCAACTTGTCATCTAACGTCATGTGCACCGAAATTTTAAAATTTTGATGTCCTCTTATCTAATTACGTAACTATTACTAATTGTCTTTTGTTACCACCCCAACAACACAACTGTTAGTTAATTTTTTTCAAGAAACTTCTCTCGAACCCCAGCGGGCGCGTAGTGGTGAAAAGTCCTAAAGTAGGGCGAAACAGCTGTCCAGTACTCCCCACTGGTTTTCCAGTGGTCCTCTAACTGATGTCAGCTCATGATGAAATCCTGATAATAATTTACTTGGATGGTTTTATTATCTAATCCCCCTAAGCAAATGATAACCCATTGAATTTAAGTAGTTTGAAACAGGTGACTTTGTCTAGTCTATCAAAAGAACAGCTTGGTTTTGAAGAGCAGATGGCCAACGGGAAAAGATTAGCAAAAATTAACTCCGATAACGAACCGGACGAGAACTTATTACCCAATAAATATACGTACGCTGAGGAAACCATTGAGTGATATCATATGCTAGGCAGTTGGTTAAGTGAAAATCGAATGGAAAACGAAGAGTTGGGCGTCCAATTCCAACATGTAGGAGGTGACGTGAGGGAGAAGTGAAAGCCTGTGGACAATTGTGGGGCTGGCTAAAAAGAACAGGGTGAAATGCAGATGCTCTGTTGAAACATTATTTTCTACTCTGAAACTAAGAGAATAATAATGATAATAATTTAAGTGATGGTTTGTAGGGATTTGATTGCTTTCAGGATTTCATCATGAGCTGACATTAGTTAGAGAACCATTCATAGCCGAATGTACTTCATTGAATTCAGTACACTTTATATACGACTACAATTCAGGGGCGATATACCAAGTGAGATAATTACGAAGAAATTAAGAAAATCAGTTCA